TCGTACGAGAAARTTGCTAGCTCTGCGACAGAACCCGATGAAAAGGAAGCGATGGGATCGCATTCCTCCGACGGCGTCTTGAGCGTGTGCAATGAATCGTATGATGAACAAAGTTATTTAGTAGATACAATGTCGGTCATGAACTTTAAAAAGACCCAATGTACGGTCAACACAATGGAAGATACAGATTTCCCCAGAGTTGCTAATGCSTTCACCGAAGGGCCAATAGACTTCCAGAAATCCCATGTTGTCTCCAAGGATGACGACCATTCCCAAGACAACGGGCGAAAACCAGACTCCAAGACCTCACGTGATGGTTCAGTCAATGGTGATCAYCCAAACGACRAAGTCGATTCGTTCAAGACAAAGAATATCGGAGATCTTGCGGATTCCACGAACAGYACGCGAGCAAATGCGAATTCGGTTCCGACTCTCCACGAGGTTGGTACCGCGCAAAGCACCGAAGAAGCACGCACCGAAGAAGGTGTCGTCTGCGAGGTGTGCACGGAAGAAAGCCTACCCGGAGTTTGTACCGAAGAAAGCATCGGCGAGATGGACACCGAACGAAGCATCCACCCGACTTCTTGTACCGGTGCGGAAGCGGAGATTGACTATCTCGCCGACGATGTTCCGAGCTTTGATTGTGCCTACCCGAGTTTTGACGAACCCGCGGAACCACGCAAGGGATCTAACACCACGTTTCCGTTGACAAGAAGCTCCTCTGGTGGAGAAAACAAACAGGTGAATGCAAATAGTTCTCCGTTGAAACCATGTCAYATGAGAGAAGAAACCTTGAAACCTATCGGTGCACTGATCGCAAAGAATACAAAGCTTGTGGCTAATTCTGACTCTTTTTCCACGGCCGTCCAATAGTACTTGTAATTGGTGTCCGGCAAAGTGGGTCATACTCCGCGAGAAYATTGTACGCAATATGCTACCGTGAACTATGACTACTACATTATATTTTATAACATAATAGTACGACATAGATGCACACAGTTTGATTTAGGTCTTTGGTGCAAATGCTTCAAAACACTCCTGCTCGGATTTCGTTTGTACGGAAAGGCTTCCGTACGAATCTCCCCACCAGGGGTTCCGAGCAGTGGATCTCGCACGGTGGTCATGGTTTTGCGATCCCGCCTTCCAGCCGGTCCACCGACCCTTCTCGGATCGACGAGGCGTCCCGGAGAAGGGCTTCCGCAAAGGCCTCCGCCTCGTCTCCCACCGTGTCTCCGGAGGCCATCCGCGCCAGTTCCCGGATCCGTTCCTCGCCTCGCACCGGCGTTGCTGCTACCACATCGCACRAGCCGCCGCTTTCCCCGGCCCGGCGGGACGGCACCCTCTGGACGCACAAATGGGTGTCGGCCATCGCGGCCAGGGACGGGCCGTGGGTGATCGAGACGACCTGGCAGGCCTCGGATTGGTCGTAGAGCATCCGTGCCACCGAGATCGAGGCGCGTCCMCCCACGTGGGCATCGATCTCGTCGTAGATCACGGCCAGCGGTGGGGGGACCGTCGGCACGGGCTTGTCGTCGACGTYCCCGTCGRCGCCGCCGCTGGAAAAACCCGTTGCACCCGCGGAARAACCACCGATGGCGGCACCGATYGATCCCGAGATCTCGCATTCGATGGCGAGCAAGATCCTGGCCTTTTCGCCGGAACTCGCGACGGTTTCGATCCTCCCACCGATCTGCTGCGCGTCRCTGCCGCTGCCACCGTTCGCCTCGTCGTCGCGGAGGAGGTAAAAGCCCACCTCGTCGGCCCCCGGGCGGGAGCTCGTGTAGGCCGGCTCGTCGATCGGGGACAGGCGTGCCTCGAACCTGGCGTCCTCCATGCCCAGCCGGGGGAGCCGGCGGGACACCGAGGCCGAGAGCTTCCTGCAGACGGCGGTCCTGGCCTCGGTCAGGACCCGGCAGCCCTCCTCAAGGTCGGCCAGCGCGGCTCGCTCGGCGGCCCGGGCCTCCGGGAGGAGCCTACCTGCCTCGATGCCCCCGTCCCGTTCGGTTCTCAGGGCTTCGTGGCACAGCGGGAGCCGGTGTGGAGGGACCCCGTGCTTCCGGGCCAGGACGTTCCACTCCGCGAGGTACCCGGAGAGTTCCTCGGTCCCGATGGGGCAGGCCCTCCGGGCGGCCCCCAGGRCCGCCGGCAGGCCCTTCTCGTCGTCGTCCAGGTCCCTGGAACACTCCAGCAGCGCGTCCTCGACGAGGTTGAGGAGCTCGTGGGCTCGCTCGCTCGAGGCACCGACCCTGCTCTCCGCGGCTCCCGGTGCCGGCGGCGGGTGGGGGTTGTGCCCAAAGCCTCTCTGGGGGTTTCCGCCCGCCGCCTCCACCAAAAAGCCCCGGGTGCGTTCCAGGGCCGCCCTGGCCGAGTCCCCGTCCGAGAGRGAGGCCAGGGCATCGCGGGCGTGTTCCGCGGCCCCGATYCTCGCGTCCAGGGCCCCGAGGTACGCGTGGAGGTCCAGGAGGGTGTCGTACAGAACAGGGCCGTCCCCCGTTTCCGCTTCTTCCGCCGACCCCCACTCCAGGGCCTCCAGGTCTGCMAGCAGRCGGGCCAGCTCCGGCTCGGCGGCTCGGCGCCGCGCCGAATCCATGGCGAGGGATCCGCCGACCTCGGTGATCCGGCGGGCAAAACCGTCCAGCTCCTCGATCCAGTGCCCGAGGAGCTCCAGGTGGCCGTCCCCCCCCTCGTCTTCCAGGGACRCCGGGAGCACCCGTTGCGAGAGGTCCCGCTCCAGGGACTCCCGGTGCCGCTTCCGGGCCCGGTAGGCCGCCTGTAGCCCCCGYACCCACGCCGGCACCGAGGGGGGCAGCCCGGCGTCGACCATGGCGAGCCGGGAGGCCTCCCTCCCCAGGGCGGAAGCGGCCACCGGGGCGTCGACCACCGCCACCAGCGGCGCCGCGACGGCCCTCAGAACCCGGAGGGTGACGGGGTGGCCGTTGATGGAGCAGGCAGATTTGACGCGGGCCCTCGCTGCCGTGGCGGCGGYGGTGGTGTTCTTTTTCCCGGCCGAGAGGGCCACGACGCGCTTGAGTCGCAGCTTGAGCCCGCCGCCGCCGTCGTTGCCGTCGTCTTTGTCGTTTCCGTCGTCGTCGCCGTTTTCCTCCCGGTCCGATCCCGCCAGAACCATTGCCGGATCGATTCCCGCCCCCCGCAGGGCCCCGGCGACGTGCTTCTTGTGGGCGCTGTCGCGCAGCACCAGCTCCATCTCGACCGAGGCGGGGRGCGGYSCC